TAATAAAGTATACGTATTTCCGGTCGACGTTTTCGCATGCGCAATTTAGTTCGAGTTCCAAGGAAACCCATACATTATGTTTTTAATGTTTATGGTAAAGCAATTTTACATTGCTATACTATCATAGCTATGACCCGCCTTGGGCGCCAAAATCTTGTAGCACACGCCTTGTAGGAAAAGTCTTTTCTGTCTCGCCTTCTGTCTTAACCTACTGGCCCATGAATCCACAACTAACCCGCGATTGGGACCTTTTACTACCCTAGCTTCAGCGAGTGGAGTTGGGTGGGTTGTTGCGGCTGTTGTAGATCGCGGTTACGTCGAAATATTTAAAGATCCCTACAGAAACTAACTAATTGAAAGTCCACACTAAAACCTCAAATTATTAATGGAACTGAACAATGAATGGCGGATAAACTAAATAGGTAAGCAGCACAAAGTTGAATAGATAAAAGCGGATGGGACTGAGATGTTGTCCCCTACCCTACCCTTCTATACCCTCCCAACCATGGTTCTTTCTGTTAATGTACTAAATGAAAACCCCAAAATGTTTAGTTAATTATTATTTTATTTTTGAACCCCTTGTACTCGAAAAAATTAGAAGGGACTTATCTTTTCATCATGGTACATATATAATTTAGTTTTACAAAAAAATTTTGTAGGGGTATAATTGACATACATTAATCAAGACTTCCTTTAATGAACTTCTTGATTTCCATTCAACTTATATCATCAACTTATATATCATTTTTCGCGACAGCTGGAGAGAGCGGAAAAGTGCAAGAAAGTTGATAAATTAAATGCAAACAAAACAAAAAAACTAAACTAGTTAATTTCAAACTGTTACTTTTCGTATGTCTCAACGCGTGATAGCGAAGTGCAATAAACGACCCTACTGTCGGTCCATAGCCAAAGAGCATGATCTTGCTCACCCTGCTTACTTACGGCTACGCCCACTCCGATGGCGTGGAGTCAACAATGCAAAACCCCTCCACCATCAGTTTCGGCCCGTGGCGCACCAACGACATGCAACGGTAAAACTTCTGCATCCGCACTAAATTTGTCAGCAACAACTACAGCTACGGCAAATAAAACAACAACAACCACAGCTACGGCTACTACTTCGGAATAGACTGCAACTGCAGCTCTAAATTCAACGGAAACAAAACCACGACAACAAATCAAAACCAAAAAAAATTCAGCAAGCGGGTCCAGCCATACAGACTGGACTAGATCGGTACATCCATATCAAGCGTAAGCTTAGCCCGCAGAGCACCGCGGTAGATAACAAGTCAAAAATAAACCGTGTCCAAATAGAAAATAAATTACCCGAAAGATCCAACAGCAATAGATTTGCGCTTCTAGCTGAAAATGAACCTAAACAGGCTCAGGAGACCCAACCTAAGCCCCCACCAATTTACATTAGGGTTAAAAAACCTCGAACGCCGTGGTCAACAAAATTGTTGCGCTGACCGTGGACGAAAACTTTCATGTTGTTCTGGTCACAAAAGGGGATATCCATGAAACCAAGCTTCAGACCAAATCTGAAGAACATTTCCGAGCTGTATCCAAATACCTGGAGGAAGCTAGTAAAAGCTTCTACACGTACCAACTAAAAAGCAGCAAGGGCCTGCAAGTGGTACTTAAAGGAATCGAGCCGGACGTAACCGCCAAGGAAGTTATCGATGCTCTCAAGGAAAAAGGGTTTTCTGCAAAGAACGTCAGTAACATTATAAACAGGAAAAAAGAGCCGCAACCACTTTTCAGGGTCGAGCTGGAGCCAAAAGGCAGGGTCTTGAAGAAAAATGAAGTGCACCGCATTTATAGCCTGCAATACTTGTTGCACCGAAGAATCATCGTGGAAGAGCCACGTAAAAGGAACGGCCCAGTGCAATGCACAAGTTGTCAGGAGTATGTACACACCAGGGCATACTGTTCATTTCGAACAGTTTGGGTAACTTGTGAAGACTTCCACAATTCGGCTAACTGCCCTGCCAACAAAGAAGACCCCGAAAAGAAAAAATGCGTTAACTGCCAAGGTAACCACACGTCAAACTACAAGGGCTGTCCGATCTACAAGGAGATGAAGGACCGCATGCGAAAAGTGACAGCAACGCGTCATCAGAATACCCAAAATGCATACACTTACTCGCGTACGACGCCAGAAGTATTTTTCTGCACGGCTGCAAGATCCTCATTTGGTCAACTAAACACCCAGAAGGGCTTCTCATACGCCGATGCCCTTCGATCAGGGACGGAAAACCCACTCCGGTCTAATCTAAGAAACGCTCAGCAGATCCAAGTACAGTCACAAAGCACTCTGGAATCTATGATGGTCACCAAACAACAAAGTGCAGCAAACACTGGTTCAAAACCAGAACATGGTGATACAGCTACTTGCAGGTAAGCAGTCTAAATAACAGATGGCAAATCTACGAATAAGAATGTGGAACGCTAATGGCGTTTCACGTCACAACCTTGAAGTAACACAGTTCCTGAATGATAATCATATCGACATTATCCTACTGGTAGAGACGCACCTCACAAAAAATACAACTTCCAAGTAAGAGGCTACACTTTCTACCGCACAGACCATCCAGATGGTAGGGCCCACGGCAGAACCGGCATCCTAATCAGGGAACGCATCAAGCACCACTTTCATCAAAGATTTGCAACTAATTACTCACAAGCTGCGTCTATCAAAGTGCAGTCAGGCAACGGAAACCTCACCATAGCCGCTGTCTACTGTCCGCCTCGCTTTACAATTTCTCAAGGACAATTCATGGACTTCTACAACTTGCTTGGAGATCGCTTTATAGCTGCAGGGGACTATAATGCTAAACACACGCACTGGTGATCTCGCCATGTTACTCCCAAAGGAAGGCAATTATACAATGCAATCATATAACCCACATACTGGCCAACAGACCCCAGGAAAGTTCCAGACCTAATAGACTTTGCGGTGACAAAAAAAACATTCCCCGCAATATAACAAGCGCTAAAGCGCCTTCGGACCTGTCGTCAGACCATTCGCCAGTGCTAATAACCCTTCTTCAAAGCACAAAATCTACAGATCACCCCCTCAGGCTGACGTCGCACAGAACCAACTGGCTAAATATAAAAAGTATGTAAGTTTGTAAATTAACCCCTCACTTCAACATCGAAGCGGACATCGACTGCTCTACCGATGCTCTTGAAGAAGTATTCGTGGAGGCAGCCACTATCTCAACACCACAAGGCAGGGACGTGAAAACCAACCACTTCAAAACTAATCTGCAAATTGAACGGCTAGTCCTAGAAAAGAGGCGACTGCGACGTGCCTGGCAAACCAACAGATCGCCGTCATCAATAAAACGTCTTAAGGAAGCCACTCGCACATTAAATCGAGCTCTAAAGCAAGAAACAGAAAACGCACAGCTGCGGTACATTGAAAAACTTTCGCCAACAAGTACAAAACATCCTCAGTGGAGGGCTCACCCAAATCTGAGCTCTCCAATCGAAACAGTCACACCATAAAAAATTCATCTGGCAGCTGGGTCCGCAGCGACGAAGATAGAGCTGAAACTTTTGCTTTACATCTAACGTTCCAGACCCTGCCATTGGTTCATTTGTCCTACCACAAATCGAGTCAGAATCTATTTCCCTACCACCATTGTTTCAGCCAACATCGCGAAAGTCTTTGGGGAACTGAAACCGAAAAGGCCCCTGGCGGTGACCAAATAACCCCAAAAATTTTAATTGAACTTCCAAACTCTGCCGTTGAGGTTATTTGTAAGCTCTTCATGGGATCACAACTCTCGGCTACTATCCGAAAAAATGGAAAAATCTATTATTATTATGATACCAAGGCCTGGAAAAGACCACACAATTTCGTCATCCTACAGACCAATTAGTTTATTATGTGTGTGTCAAAGTTCTTCGAAAAATGCCTTCTAACTCGCAGAATACCATATCTAGGAGCACACAATGTTATCCCTGCTCATCAATTTGGCTCTCGTCAAAACCATGCAATAATCTAACAAGTAAACAGAATAACATCAGAAACACGAACAGCATTTGAGCATCGGGAATGGCTAGATCGATCGAGTATGGCTAGATGGCCTCAAGCACAAAATCAAAACACACTTGCCAGATTACACTCACAAGCTTCTTGAGTCGTATCTATACAACAGAACCTTTGCAGTAAGTTACAACACAACAACATCCGACGACTACATTATCAAAGCTGGAGTCCAGCAAGGAAGCGCGCTAGGACCTACTCTTTTCGTCCTATACACAGCAGATATTCCCAGGAACGAGCAGCTAACAACATCTACGTTCGCTGACGACACCGCAATTTTAAGTCGCTTGAGGTGCCCAGGCCGAGCCACAACACAGCTAGCAAACCACCTCTCCGTAGTAGAGAGGTGGCTATCTGATTAGCGGACTAAAATAAATGAACAAATATGTAAACAAAAAACAGCATCTTACAATTAAAAACTCTATGTGCACCCCAATCGGCTCACAAGAGTCTTGAGTTGGGTTTCCAGCCGATCACGTCTACAACGCAACGACCTGCCAAGCCAGCAATTACTTTCGGGCCCCCTTTAGCACAATATCAGTCATATTACTGTTATTTAGAGAAATTAGTTAAGATTTGATACACTTATTGTTAGTATCCAATGGGAGAAGATTCAATAAATAAATAGCAAAGCATTAAAAAAAAAATTATATTATCTAACATGCCTGGTCGTTTACATTTTTATTCTAGGTATAGGTTTTTTTAGTTTTAAGTGATTTGTTTCTTTGTATGGGTCAAATCTATTTATTCATTTCTTTCGTTTTCATCACCAGGCTTGTCTATTTAGATTTTGTTTTTTTTTCTGATTTACTTATGCAAGGCAAGGGCAGCCAAATTATACCCAAGCGCATAACACAATCAAAATAAAACTGCCTGGAAAGCTTATCTCGGTTGGACTTATGTTTATAAAAGCCAGATCAGCACCGAAGTTTTTGTATTTTGGGAGGGCAGCCGGTTATTCGTTTTGGAGGGTTTTAGCTCACCCGTTCGCTTTTGGAGTAAAATTCGTTCAATCGGCGGCTTGCTCGAAACAATCAAAACTAGAGTAGCATGCGATCACTTACCTTCTGAAAATTCAGATGAAGCGCTCCATGGTTCCAGGGGTAAACTAGTTGAGCTTCCTTGGAGAGACAAGTTTTAATTAATTCTTCGCAACCGCCGTCGATACCCAAGATTTATACTTACAGGTGAAAGAAGAGAGTTATACAACGCTTGTACCGACTTGGGTGCGTAAGTATTTCAAATTGAGTAACACCTCAATTGCACTCTGATTTTCGTAATTTCAGGTATATTTTAATATTTTGTTTTGGGGTTATTTCCAAGTGATAGCGGCTAACTCTCTCTCTCTCTAATCTCGGAGCAGCTGCACTGAATCCTATTCCGGGTTGACGACTGGTTTTCCCGCCGACTAGCCTAGATTGTGAACACTTGGTTCCTAACCCCACGGACAACCTGCTGCTGGCTAGATGTTTATGGCCTGTTCTTCTGATTGAGAAGTAGATATTAATTTCACGTTAGCTATCTCCTTTTACTTTACTTACGTTCAGTTTGTCTTTCTTTATATTTAGACGTTTGCCTAGTTGGTTATTTCATTGTGTTTTACCATACACGAGCCTTAACAATCACTGATGATAAAGATTTATGTGACTTTCGAATGCACGTGGTATGGCCAGAAATTAAAGTTGGACTACGTTTTTGAAGCCAACCTTTCACTTAGAGTTCTCGAAACAGAATGACTGAATAGATCGGAATTCAAAAGTTGGGAGTTTAAGCATCCGAAAAAAAACGAACTTTTGACGCTTTGGATCACTTACCGTCTTTATTAAGGCAATTTTGCTTGTGATTACATGGGGTTACATACTCCGGTAAATAACTCGGATAAGTACGAGTGCTGGCTTTATTATCAGTTACTTTTCGAAAATTTTCTTTAAAGATCTTAAGGTTGGTACATTACACCCACCAGGTAATCTGACGAACCTGGCGAGGAATGATTAGCTGTAATTAGCTACGTACGTCTTTAGCATATGTTCCGATTTCTTTGCCTTGTGGAGATTCCAGTATATAGTAGGCATTTCCTCGCTTTTGTTTGACTCTACACTTGGAGAACTGGGAAGCCAACTTTTTATTGAAATTGTTTCTGAAATGACTTAAATGAACATTTCTTTTATACGCCTTGCGACTGTCTTTTTTTATTTCTTGTCTTATTACCTGCAGGTGATCCTCGCGCTCTAACCTAGGTGACTCTTCCAATATCGACATTTCCTTTAATAGTTTATAGTCATCCCCGTGATTGATCATATTCATCCCGAATAAGGCTTTGTAAGGGGAGCACCCTATTGACTGATGTAAGGCTGATCTTGAAGCAGAACAGAAACTGGGTAAATGATATACGATCGTATAGCCGACATTAATGAACGATTTACACGCTCTGCCCCATTAGTTTGCGGGGAATAAAAAGCAGTATATACGTGTCGAATTCCTGATTTATTTAACAAGGCTTCAAATTCATATGCTTTGAATTGCACGCCGTTGTCGCTCCCAATTACCTTGGGAACTTAAAATTCTGGAAAGATTCGCTGGCTTAAAAAATCATTGATAAGACTCGTTGTGAATTTTCTTAAAGGGCACAACCAATGATACCAGGAGAAGTGATCTTAATACTATTAATAAACCTATGTAACCCTTCTAACTCCTTGGATAAGGACCTAAAACATATACGTAAAGTATTTGAAAAGGTCTAACTGAGATGTTCTGCTGGCCCATCGGAGAACGCACAGCCATATTGGGAGCTTTCGTTTGCTTGCAGATTTCACAATTACGTATGTAATCTCGCACCTCTTTAGATAATCCTGGCCAATAAAACTTCCGTCCACCATGAGTATTTACAATGCTATCATGTGTTTGACGAATTGCAGAAGCACGTAGCGGTTCTGCTTCCCATAATTTCCATTCAGCGGAATCTAGTTCCTTGTTTCCAGAAACGTGTTCCATGCAAATATAAACAAAACGATCCACAACCTGCAAATTTGGAAATTAGTCAGAGTTTTCTATTATTCTCGCCTTCATTTGTAAATATTCGGGATCGAGATACGATGTGGACTATAAATAAATTTTTGGGGCCATGAATTCATAACTTGCAATCTCATCTGCGCTAATTCACAATGTGATCCTTTTCCTTTCTATGGGTAACTTTGAATGAAAATAAAGAAGAACGCTATAGTCGAGTACCTCGACTATCAGATACCCGTTTCTCAGCTAACGGGACCAAAGGGAAATGGAGATATGCAAGCAGCAAAGCGAGATTGAAATGCGCCACCTACCCGTGGGCAGTAGACAGATTTAAGCGTTATGCGCGTTAGAGTGGGCGTGGTAAACTTGTTTTGAATCAATCGATAGGTATTAACGAGACCATTACATTTCAGTTAAAATTTTATATCTAGCATGAAAATTGTGGGCGCCACAGTTTTGGGCGGATTGTGGTCGTTAGAGTGGGCTTGGCAAACTTCTTTTTAAATCAATCGATAGGTATTGACAAGACCAATACATTTTAGTTAAAATTTTGTATCTAGCATGAACATTGTGGGCGCCACAGGCTTAGGCGGCTTATGGACGTTAGAGTGGGCGTGGCATATTTCCGTAACAAACTTGCGCTGCGTACAAGGCTACGGAATCTAAATCTGAGATCCCATTTCTCCATCTTTGATAGTTTCCGAGATATCCGCGTTCATACTTACGATTTTTTGAAGTTTGTGGGCAGTTTGTGGGCAGTTTGTGGGCGTTTAAGTGGGCGTGGCACATTTCTGAAACAAACTTGCGCTGCGCAGGATTCTCAGGAATCTGCATGCCTAATCCCAATATTGTAGCTCTTATAGTTTCCGAGATCTCAGCGTTCATACGGACAGACGGACATGGCTAAATCGACTCGGCTAGTGATCCTGATCAAGAATATATACACTCTATGGGGTCGGAAACGCTTCCTTCTGCCTCTTACATAGTTTCCGACGTTTACTCTACGAGTAACGGGTATAATGACTGTAAGCGGAAAACCCAACGAGCCAGTGTCCCAATATCTCTTGTTGACTCATTAGCCACTGTAAACTGCTATGATCAGTAACTACTTCGAACGGTTGCATTTCTAAAGAGCAGCGAAATTTCTCTATAGCTAATATAACCGCCAGACATTCGCGTTCTGTCACGCTATAATTTCTTTGGGACTTCGACAATTTCCGGGACATAAAAGCAATTGGCATCTCTTCTCCATCTTTGGATAATTGCACGAGCACCGCACTAATACCAAAATCGCTTGCGTCGCAATGTAAATAGAATTTTCTATAGAAGTCCGGATACTGTAGAACCGGAGCTGAGGTAAGAAGGTTCTTTAAAGTGTTTATAGCTGTTTGGGCGGCCTCGGTCCACTTAAATGTTTCCTTGGAGGACAACACCTCGGTAATTGGGAACGTAATGTCTGCATAATTTTTAATAAATCGGCGATAACACCCACAAACACCAAGAAAACCACGAACTTGTTTAAGATTTATAGGAGTCGGCCAATTTATAATGCAAGAGGCTTTACTAGGGTCAGTTGTTATTCCTCCACTTCCAAATACATAACCCAAGTAGTTGACCTTCGTTACACAAAAGTGACATTTTGCAATGTTAAGAGTGATATTAGCTTTCTTGAATTGATAAGCTATACGCACTAGTACGGCTTAATGAGATGAAAAGTCTTCCGATACAATACATATGTCATCTAAATAGCCAATTACACAGTATCGTACGTCAGGTGGAATTAATGTATCCATCAGTCGGCACATAGTTGACGGGACATTACATAAGCCGAAAGGCATGACAGTGAATTGAAAGAGAGCTCTACCTGGGACTGTAAAGGCTGTTTGAGGCTTTGCTGCTTTAGACAATCCGATCTGCCAATAGGCATCTTTTAGGTCGAGCTCTGAAATAATGTTTGCCTTCGGAGGTCGAGCAAAAAATCTCATGATGCTTTGTAACGGGTAGGCATCCTTCTTGATTGCTTCATTTAATTTTCTAGCATCTAAACAAAGCCTTACCTTATTTGGCCTGACAACTAATCGAACAGGGTAACTCCACGCACTTTGTGACGGCTCTATTACACCCAAGCTAAGCATCCGATTAATTTCGGTATATAGAAGTTTCTCGAGTGCAGGGCTAACGAGGTAATATCGGTGCTTCACGGGTTTTGCTTCTCCTATGTCTATATCATGCTTTATTCAATCAATACGGCCAAGCCCTTAGCGTTCAAAATTTGGAAACATTTCCATGACGGTTTCAAGTTGTCTACGCTGAAATTCGGATAACGGATACTGATCTCCCAACTCCTTGGTGTCTTGGAGTCTAAGCAATTTATGAAACACAAAATATGGGAAGCTAAAGAGAATACTCTCCTAAATCGAAACCCAATATCAACTTCTGAGAAATGGAAGAAATAACATACAAATTAAGCACTTTTTCTTTTGCCTTATAACGCATGAGTACCTTCAGTATTCCAGACACAGAATGCAATCTCGCATCAGCGGTGCGTACATGCAACGTAATTGCCTTATAATTCGAAAAGTTGGTAAAAGATTCTTTCTCCAATGTGGACCCAATACATACATTTGCCCCTGTATCGAGCAAACCTATCTCTGAATAATTCATAAATGAAACTTTCGCATACCTATGATTACCTATATTACATTCAAATATTGTTGAGACGTTTTTGAGCCATTCGCTCTCCAAAATATTGACGCATTCGTACGGTATTGCGATGACTCTTCCCATCTAATCCTGAAAAAATTAGTTCTCTGACTTCATTATAGTTCTTCAATCTTTCATGGTATGGTATAAACTTCACGTTAATTTGTTGACCTACATTTATAATGGAATTATTTATGCTTTCTAAGATATCTCTTATTTGTGGACACTCGATTTTGATTGAATGGCGCCGCTAGGCGGTTTTCCGACTTGCGCTTTAATTTTGCACAATTGGGTTTATGTATTTGTGGTGTCCCGCAACCATCACAAAATACTTGCTTTTCAGCCAAACAGTCTTCTTATACATGTCCAGGCATTTCGCAATTCCAACATGTGATTTTCGCCGACTCAGTATGATTGACTGCGGCGATCTAAGGATCCGACTCACTATTATACTTTCCCTTTGTTGTCTTAACCTTTCTTCGTCAACGTCTAGTAATGGTAATACAGCGCCTTCCTCTAATTCTCTCGTTAAAGAGCGATTGCTTGGCCAAGGACCTACAGGTAATTTCTTGCTTTGCTGTCCTTTTTGGTTATCTTTTGGTTTCGGAGAATGATTTCCAACAATGTATTTTACATCTATGAGGCTTACTAGAACCATACAACTTGGACATTCTTTTGTCTCCATTACTCGTTTTTCTAAACAGGATTTATGGAATATGTGTTGGCATTTGGTTACTGCACACGGCTGCGTATCTTCCATACGCTCTCCGCAAACTATGCCGACATCTTGTGATGCTGGTGGTGGCTTTCTAAATTCATCTGGTGTATGCCCCACTGGACAATTTCGGAAGCTCCGAAATAAATAATAATTAAATATATTCAACTTTGATTTTATTTCTGTTTTTCTGGGCTATTGCACTAAAGACGTCCTGGGGGGACCAAAAGAATATTTAATTGAGTCCGATCTCGGACAGGAAAACTCATGTGAACTTAACTCTGTTTTCCAGTAGATTCTGTGTACAAAACTCAGTATGGTTGTTTCTATTGGTGGAATCCAAATAATGACTTTCTCTGACTATAATTACGAGATAATTGCCTAGCTACTCTAATTTGGTCGAAATATTCAAATGCTTAAATAATAACAACTTCTCTAAGTTAAACTCACGAATTTCATCGAAATGAAATGAATCTCCTTTTTGTATCTGATATTCTTGTTTGCAGAAATTTAATACTGATATTCGACAACAACGCCGTTTTCATTGATCATTCATTTCTTTTAATAAAGTATACATATTTCCGGTCGGCATTTTGCATGCGCAATTTAGTTCGAGTTCCAAGGAAACCCATACATTATGTTTTTAATGTTTATGGTAAAGCAATTTTACATTGCTGTACTATCATAGCTATGCCCCACGTTGGGCGCCAAAATCTTGTAACACACGTCTTGTAGGAAAAGTCTTTTCTGTCTCGCTTTCTGGAGATAACCTACTGGCCCATGAATCCACAACTAACCCGCGATTGGGACCTTTTACTACCCTAGCTTCAGCGAGTGGAGTTGGGTGGGTTGTTGCGGCTGTTGTAGATCGCGGTTACGTCGAAATATTTAAAGATCCCTACAGAAACTA